GAGAATGAGATAGAGAGAGCATGAGACGGGGGAGGGTCAGAAGGAGAAGCAGACTCCCTGCTGAGCAGGGAGCCCGATGCGGGGCTCGATCCTGGGACTCCAGGATCATGACCTGAGCCGAAGGCAGTCGTTCAACCAGCTGAGCCACCCAGGCGCCCCACAGTTACAGTCTTTTAATTAACTGTTTATTTTCAAGATTCCTCCCTACTTTCAGGTTCCAAATTGAGAGCAGAAACATGGCGGGGGGGAAGTGAAAAACTAAAACAGTTGTTCTCAGCGTGGTTTGAAAGGAATGCAGATGAGATTATACCATCTACTGAGATCTTCTGCTCAGCACATTTGGAAGCAATTTGGCTGAAAATTCGGATCTTTTGCGAGTCACTCTCTGCTGAAAGTACAAGCACCCATGGCAGGCTCTGATTATTATCATTATTATTGACTTAAAAGAATAGAACAGCTTAAAAGAAATAAAGCTTAAATAAAATTTAAAAACTTAAAAGAATAAAACATTTCTCAGACTCCCATGTTCATGCTGCTAAGACCCAACCCAGAAAAAACAGTGCAGGCAGAACTGAAAGCCAGCCCCCAAGACTGTTAGGGGGGATAATTCTGTGACAAGTCTTAAAGGTCTGGATCTTCTCATCCCTATCCTAATCCCTTGTTTCCTTCTTTGAGAAAGTTTTTCTAAACGGATGTGCGGTACTTGGTGTGAGCCCATCACTGAGAATCAATCTCCTCTGGAAGTTTCCCCTTCAAACTATCTTGCCCTCCCTGCAGTCAGACCCTCATGACCTTGGCTGGTTTAAGAGAGGTCCAGTGCCCCACCAGTGAGGCCAGTATCTCTAGACTCCTGGGCAGCCCCAAGGCCAGGGCAGATGGGGAGATCTCAGGCCTGGGGGTAGGAGGAGAGGCAGGGGCAAGTCTCCAGGCTCTGTCTAGAAAAATAAGCAAACAACCGGTACACACAACAATGTGGATGAATCTCAGATGCATTACGCCACATGCAAAAAGCCAGACACAAAAAGGCCACATGAGGACCACGTGATTCCATTGATATGAGGTTCTGGATAAAGGCAAAACTAAAAGGACAAAAATCGGATCAGTGGTTGCCAGGGGCTAGAGGTCGGGGGAAGGGAGCTTTCGGTGCTGATGGCTTTGTTCTCTATCTGGATGGTGGCGGGGGTTACACGACCATACAGATTTGCCAAAACCCATCTAACAACACACCAAAAGGGTAAGTTTTTCTGAATGTAAATTGGACTTCATGACACCTGAATTAAAATAACAACAGTTAAGGAGAAGGAGCAACGGCAGACGACCGGGCCAGCAGAGGCATTGAGACTGGGGAAGGGCAGAGCATCCACTGGGGGCAAGAGAAGCCCCGAGAGCTGTCCCCCGGATACTGGTTTCCAGGTCTTTGGGCAACAGGCAGACTTGCGGAGAAACTGGGAAGCCTGTCCCCTGATCCCAATTGGATGCCTAACTCCAAGCTCCACCTAGAATTAGGTTTGTCGATTGCTTCTGTGTTAGTCAATTAGCTTCACAATTTCCAGGCACCTGGGTTAGTCTCCTAGCTCGGGGCTAGTGTTTGTTTCCTGGGCACCCAGTGTCCCGAGGCAATCATTTTCAGCGAGCACTGGGGGCCAGCGGCCTGTGTTTTGAAAGCCCTTAGAAGTGGACATCAAGAGAATAGGGAAGCCCTGTGGCTCACAGGGGAAAAGCCCAGCTGGGTCAACGGACCACGTGGCCCATGGTCCAAAATCCCACCTGAGACACTCCCCAGTGTGCAGAGCGTACACGACTGGGCAGACAAAGTGTAGAGCGCCTCACCGAGGTCAGTGCTGGATTTGTAGCCCAGAGGGGACTGTGTACCCAGCACACTGGGGTCCCGGAAGTGCAGGTCCTCACAGAGCTGGCCAGAGCCCTGGGTCTTACAGAAGAACGCCACCGAGGGACGGAGGCAGCCAGAATCCGGTTGTTCAAAAGTCCGATTTATAGATTATTTAAAAAAAACATGCCTTTGTTTCTCCCAGGTCCATAGAATGGACTCAAGCTAATGATGAATAACCTATCACCAGGGTGCTTGGGGTGTAAATCTTGGCCTTTCCTGAAGAGCACCTGTAAAGTGTGTGAACAAAAAGATACAACTAACCAATTGTTTTCCATTTAAAGTTTGTTCTCTCTCTCTCCATCCCCTGGGAATTGCATTTGTCCATTCTCCTTGTCAAGGCAAACCCTTTTCTCCTGGACAGTTCAAAGTAAACGGCAGCCCAGACTCTCTGCTCGTCTGGAACTCCAAATCAGCACCCTCGGGACCAGTGCAATGGTACCCCGCTAAGAAAGGGTCAGGGGGGCGCCTGGGTGGCTCAGTTGGTGGACTGAGGGGGGTGGTCTCGATCTCAGGGTCATGAGTTCAAGCCCCACGTCGGGCATGGGGGGGCAAGGATGCCTGGCTGATGGGCTGGCCCGGGCCGGGCCCGCACTTACTTCCCCCTTTGCCGCTCTTCTCCATGCGGTACTGGTAGATGTGCAGGGTGAAGAGCATGTGTGAGTTGCGGAGGTCGTCCTCGTCACAGTCCTGCCGGCTGCCCCGGCGTGAAGCAATGGCAGCGTCCAGGAAGAAGGCGGCCTTCTCGGCCGTGGGCGCCCGCAGTTCGCTCTGGTTCTGCAGCTGGAAGACACAAGCCGAGAGCTGAGGCCTCAGGCCGAGGAGGGCCTGCGCACTACCTACGCCTGGCCCTCCGTTCTGCAGAAAAGCTACGTGCCTCTCGGAGGCTAGGGGTCCTTCTGGAACAAGGGCCTGGACTCGTGCACAGTTCTCTGCTTCACAAATCCTTTTCTGAAAGTTAATATTGAGCACGCATAGTGGATGAAAGCTGGTTTCACCCGTTTCACAATTTGAGTCTTAGCGGGTGTGAAGAGCCAGTGGTCGTATCTGAGTGACCGGGGGGAGCAGGGGGCCCAGCCTGACCTCAGCAGAGCCCAGCAAACCCGTACCCTGAGCTACCCACCTACCTAAGAAAACCCGGGGGACGCGACCGCAACCTGATCTCAAAGACTAGAATGTTTGCGGACAGGCAGGTGACACAGTGGGATCTCAGGCCAGACAGCACTGGCTCCCCAAAGAAGGAAAAACCAGCCCTGGTTAACTCTAACTCCACTCCCAATCTCTCCAGTGGCTTAAAGCCAGTTTTAGGCTTACCTGTACGAGCATGGTTTAAACAAAACACCCAACATACTTGAATGTCTCATCTCTATTGCTTAAGAAATACCTATTTTTATCTTTAGTTTTTAAATTCACGATCATGGCATATTAAGAAAGCACTGTGGGCCACGTGTCTAAATCCTATGAGATCCCTTGGAAATTAGAGTAAACTTGCATCAAAACAATATTATCAGAATTCGACTAACACTCCTTGGGGAGAGAAGAGGATACATCTGATTTATTCAAAGAAACAATCTGTGATATATGCCCCAGGGTTGGTACACATTCTGACAATTTTCTATTTCTGACTCTGACAGCACTTCTAATTCTGAACTGTGAGAGCTGATTTTGGAACCTGGCACCTTCAAAATCCTCAAAGAGAGACTCTATTGTGTTTACTGTCCCGTTCTTACTATGGCAGAAAGATAAGCTAAAGAATTTTTGTGATTTTTCAATAAGAGTTAAAGAGGATGTTGATCAGTTCTTCTTAGTCTTCAGTGAACCCGATCCTTCACCTACACGGGACTTCACTGGCAGAGTTTTTATAAAAGTGAATGGAGTTGTAAGTAAGTGATGAACCACTGAATTCTACTCCAGAAACCAATATTGCACTATATGTTAACTAACAAAATTTAAATTAAAAAAAAAGTGAATGGAGGCTACATCGTATTTGAACATCCAAGTAATTCTCGGAAAGGGAACAGCAGGCCCATGCCACTGAGCAGAGCTTCTCAAAGTGTGGTCCCTGGACCAGCAACTTCAGCGTCACATGGGAACTTGCTACACGTGCATGTTTTGGGGATTTATCCCAGGCCTCCTGAATCAGAAATTCTAGAAGTGCAGCCAGCTGTGTTTACCTAGTCTCCCAGGTGACGGATGAAGATTACAGTCTGAGAACCCTTGGGTTCAGCTTTGCAAGACCTATTAGTTTGCATTCTGATTAGATTCCATATCCAAATGGTATTGGATGCACCTGTTAAAACTACGAGCAGCCAATTTTAGTCAGACATGGTGTCCACCCTCAAGCAGTTGCAGAGAACTAACCAAGCAATCCCAACCAACAAAGGAGAAACATCTAAGAGGGCTTCCTGGAGGAAGTGACATGGAGCTGCTACTGAAGGATAGGGACTTTGCCAGATGAAGAGCAGGAGGGGAGGGGGAGTGTTGCGTGCACATAGGTAAGAGGGAGGATGGTTGGCATCTGAGGGCCTTACAACGGAAAGTGTGGTCAATCACTGGGAAGCTCGGGAGAAACTCATAACCAGGGGCCCCATCCCAGCCCTACTGAGCCAGAACCCGCATGGTCACGAGATCCCCAGTGACTCATATGCACACTGAAGTTTGAGGGGCACTGCATTTTTAGGGACCTGCATGTAATTTACGAGGAGTGGAAAGAGATGATGTTAGAAAGGTAGGCAGGGGGCGGGTCACGTGGGACCGTGCAAATCATGATGAGGTTTGGACGGGGAGGGGATTCATAACAGGAACGGAAGGATCTGAGGTGCTCGGATCAGAAGATCGTGGCCAGGTGTGAGTAGATGGGTGTAATAGGGAGGTATCCTCACCTGTGCAAACAGATCCCACCTGGGATGAGGCAGGGACTCATCGAAATGAACTTATCTAAAAAAAACCCTTAGAAATAAAGCCTGCTGGAGATGGAAAGAACCGATTCTTCTGGATATGAACCAGGGAGCTCAGAGTCCTTCCTCCACCTACTGTCAGCCGGTGAGGGACAGACACACACAGCAGTCCTGCATCATGCCCGGCAAAGGTGGACTGGAGCTTCTCTGGGCTTCCACAGCTCTAGCAATTACATCATGGCTCTAATTAGAAAGTGGTTATTACTTTTTCCTACCGCACTAGTAAGCCGGCAGTAAAGCCAGGGCCAGAAACACGGTTTATAGAGCCATAAACAGCCCCAGTAATGGCTGGAGCTCTTTGTGCAGAGCAGTAAATATTTCGGCTTGTTGTTTAAACAAAAGAAAGACTGGACTTTCTTTTTTCGAAAGGGGCATAAAGAAAGTGAATTCCATTTCCCCCGAACGCTACAACAATCGCGGCTCCTGCTCATTGTCAATTAGATTCAAGGTACAAATATTTAGGTTGGGTGAGCGGATGGCTCTGCCGCTGCAGGCCATAAAGTTCCCGGCCACCTTCAGGTAAACACTCGCAAGCCCACCCGGTTTACAGGTGGACGGAGCCGCGGGGATCATGGGGTGCGGCGCCCCAGGCAGGAGCCGCTCACCTGCGTGCCACAGATGGGGTCCTCACACAGGTACACTCCCGGGGACTGGCCATCCTGCAGGCTGCCCGTGGCCACCTCGGCCAGCAGGTCCCGCAGGTTCTCTTCTTTGCCCCACACTTCCACAGCTGAGATCCGCACCGAGAACCGGGCTCCGGTCTTCTCCTTGCGTTCATTGATCAGCTTGAAGAGCCAAGAGATAGCACAGGGGATGATGCCAAGGTTCTGCATGGAATCGTCCTTTCCAATCATGGTGTAGGATTTCCCTGGGGGGAGCGAGGCAAGGAAGGAACACAGTGTGAGTGTCAGGGCAGGGGGGGATGCATTCCATGAAGTGTTCCCCCCCAACCTGCAGGGAAGCTGGGGGAAGGGAAGGAAGGAAAGGAAAAGGAGGGAAATACTAAGCATTGATGACACAGCAACAAAGGGCATTTCCTAGTACTAGGGACAAAGAATGTGAGCACCCAGATGGAGGACAGGATTTAAGTCCGGACTGAGCTCACTGTGATGGTTCTTTTTATCACCACCCCACAGATTAAATCTACAGACTTGCACTTTATATCCTTCCTCAAGTTAAATGCAGTGTATATTTTTATAGCAGGAGCAAATTCTATTAAAATCTGCATTGCTGCTTTGATCAGAGATCAAGAAGACCGAAGGGAGCTGAAATGAGCTTTCTGTCTCGGCCTCGAACTGGCCTCCCTCACTGCAAAGCCTTTGTGGGAACCTCTGCCAAGGAGCACTTCTGGAGTTCCCCAAATTCCTAACTTCCCAGCACGTAAGGTAAGGCCTGCTGAGCAGATGGCCCCAGGCCAGGATTAAGAAGGCCCCTGAAGGGGGTCCAGTCAACCAAACCCCTGTCCGGGTGCTCCCCTGCCCCCCTTCTCCTTTCTCGCTCGGCACAGGCTGGAGGCTGTCAGACACTCTCCCCAGACGGGTCCTGACATGGTTGTGGGCTTGGCTTGGAGGCCGCTCCTCTGGCTTATTGTGGGCTCCATCCACCACCACGAACCCAAGAGCCCTGCTTGGCACGTGTTCCTCCTCCTGCTGGCTTTCTGGGCATGCCCCTGACCTGCACCAAGTGGGAAGGACCCCATCACCACTTTCCTAGAACACTGAGTCTCCACTTAGGATGAATGCTACATGTCAAAAGCAGAAATGGTGCCTGGTGATTCTTCAATTGGGCAGGCACCTAAAGGAGACAACCTTCCCTTTCATCTGCAGACTCTGGGACCAGAACAGAAGACCAGACCATGTGCCTGGGAATACACGCGGCAGGAACAAGGAAATTTCTCACTGACCCAGCTTGGCGTGGCCGAAACAGAACACACAGCCGTCCGCCCCGTTGACCACAGACTGGATCACCTCTGCCACGGTTCCAGCACACACTTCAGCCTGGCAAACACGAGACGAGACACACGCAGTGAGTGGACCATTAGCGATGGGAACAGGAGCCCCCTTCCCCGGGGCTTGGGTCCCAGGGTCACGGCATGATAGATGGGTCAGGCCGTAATGCAGTTCTGGGGTGCTCAAAACCCTCCGGGACCTCTGCCTCTTGCAAGCCCGAGCCTTACACACATGACCTGCAAATCACCCCTCTGCTAATTTATAGTGCATTTCAGCTGCTGTGTCTGCAAGCCAGGTGGGAACCGGCTGGCATGGGACACCGGGTGCTTTCGTGGACCTCAGGCTCTCCCTTGATCTGCCCTTCTGGCCTCCTGGACAAGCCTTTTAAACTTCCCACTGGCCCTCTGGATCCTTCACTCACACACACACAAACACACGCACGCACACACACACACACACAGCACATGAAATGGACCAAGCTTAGTGGGAAAAAGATGATGTGCCATTTCAGAAAAATGACCTTGGGCAACATTGTATTTCTGACAGAAGCAGGAGGCCTGTAATCTACATCTGCTTTCTCTCCAGCCTCCTTCCTCTTTCTTGATCCATATCCCCTTCTTTTCAAAACCAGCCTTTTCTTTCTCTCTGTGCAGAGTCAACGTACAATGTCAAAGGCCACTTGTCAGGATGTTATGATGGCGGTTCTTCAGCCGGCGTGGCTCAGCTCCTACACGACTGTTTAAATCCTGAGACCGCGGCCAGGCTCTTGACTTTCTATCTCCCCATTAACACCCCGTAATACAGCACTCCGCCAACCATGAGAACTCCGTGAATTCTGCGGCTTCACTTGGAGATCTGAGAACTCCCTCTGGGCGGCAGGAGGACAAAATCACGCCCGGTGTGCTGTCCCCACCAGAGTCAGAACTCCAGGAATCCCTCGGAGGCGTCAAAGCAACGCAACCCCCATGGGAATCCGAGAGCCACAGCCTTGCCAGGAACGTGGCTGCGGGGGTGCGACCGACCTGAATATTAGGAAATCGATTCTCTCTCCCAAACCAAAATCGAAAAACCACACTCCCACCCGTTCTTGATCGTTCTGGTGGTCGCCTCAGCAACTCGGCTGGGGGCTCCTCCTGGGCCAAGGGGGTGGAAGGATGAGGCTGCCGTGGGGACCGCGGGATCTGTCACACCCCCAGGGCCTCCCCAGCGAGAGGCCGTTTGGAAGTCCCGAGACGGAGGCTGGAGAATCTTGATGGAACTTGCCACAGGGGCCTCTGCAGAGCAGCGAGGAGCCTCCATCTTCTTTGGACAAAAAGTGGGGTGGGGGCCAGGGGGCTGAGAGCCCACCCTGACATAGGCTGTACTCGATGCAAGGGCAGCAGGGAGTAAGCTGAGTGTGTGTGGACCAAACGGCCTTCATCGAATCATCTGTGCAAAGGCCCGAGGACACAGGAGACAGGCCTCCCCTTGCGGAGTTCCTGCCCACCATCCACGGAGAACAGAGTGGTCAGTGACCTGTCCGTCTCTTATTGCTAGGAGCTGACATGGCCCCTGGAAGCGCCCTGCTGCCTTTCGCCTTGGGCCTGCAGAAGCAGGCAGCCTTCCCCAGCCCAGGCCCCCAAGGCAGGGCCAGGTCGGCAGCAAGCCTCTGCTCTCCCACAGGTGTGAGTCCTCCCCACCCCCTTCCTGCTCAGGACTGAATATTTGTGTCCTCTCCCACCCCCCAGTTCCTATGTTGAAACCCCACATCCAACGCGATGGCATTTGGAGGTGACGAAGCCTTTGGGGAGGTGACTAGGTCATGGGGGTGGAGCCTTCCTGAATGGGATTAGTGCCCTGAGGAGAGAGGTCCCAGAGAGCTCCCTTGGGCCACGTGAGGACGCAGCGGGAGGACAGCTATGAATCAGAAAGGGGCTCTCGCTGGACATTGGATCTACCAGTGCTTTGACCTGGGACTTCCCAGACTCCAAAACTGTGAGAGAGATATTTCCCTAGTTTATAAGCACCCCAGTCTGTGCCGTTTGTTATGGCCGCCCAAATGGACCACGACACCTTCCCAAAGCCAGAGCCTCAGAGGTCTGCCCCGCAGGGGGCAGTGGGTGGCTGCCAAGGCCTCTCAGGCGTCCTAAGGAGGGCTCATGGGGGCAACGAGGAGCAAGGGCTGTTCTGGTCTCTGCTGAGCTTCAGGAAGCTGATGTCCCGACAGACTGACAGAAAGCCGAGTTCCTCGCTGCCTGGGGCCTCCCTGGGGGCTGCTGCTTCGTAAGCCACAAGGAGGACCTGAGAGCAGAGGCCTCCTCTGTCCAGCTTCCTGCCCCGGAGGCTCACAGGGAGCTCACGGCTGGGGCGCGGAGGCTGACCGCGACCAGCAGCATGACCTTCCCGGCCGCAGCGAGGACAGAACAGTAAGAGCTCACGTGTTTGGAGCCCTCGCTAAGCTCTGGCTCTCTTTCACCAGCGGTCTCGTGTGTGTTGACTCCGTGGGTAGGATGGTGGGAGGGCACACCGTGCACGACACAGTTGAAGGGGAAGGATCCAGGAGAGCTGTCTCCTCAGGAGAGAGACTGTGAACGTGAGACTAATCTTTGCACCTCGGTTTCCTTGTGCCTGATGTGAAGCACTGTATTAGGATACTGGCCATTTTAACAAAAGGCAAGCATTCCAAAGCCAGAGTGACTATAGCATTGTGCGTCTGGGCTCTGCAACCAAGTGTGAAATGTCAGTAAACAGGAGTAATAAAAATGGCTCTTTTTTCTGGAATAAATCTAAAACTCATTAATAGTCCACACTGAATTTGGGGTTTGCTTTGGGATGCTTACAACTTGGGGAGAATTGCTTTAGAAAAGTTTTTTAACTGTGTTAGTTAAATTATTTGTAGGCCATTTATTAGACACAACGTCAGGGTTGGATGAGTGAGCCCATGGGCGGGCAGAACACACAAAATGTAATAAGAGAGAAACCATCGGACTGGCTTGTAAAGTGTTTTGTCTTTTCATGGTAAAACTCTTTGGGGAAGCCACCTGCGTGGCTCATTAATGAATGCAGCCTAATGTGCTGTGGGTCTGGTATACTATCAGGGCCCGAGCAAGCACCACCACATCCCACACTCAGAAGCAGCATGGAGGGAATTAACAGGAGCCATTAACATCTTGTCTTCTTTAGGTTCTGCTATAGGCCTAAGTTACTCCATTGTACCCCGTTTTGTATAAATCTTGGGAAGTGCTGGAAATTTGTCTGGAAGACAGAGCTGTCGGTGGCCAACATGCAGGCAAAGTAGGTCACCATATACCTATAACCTGGGTTATGTGTCTACTAGAAGCTTCTGTCGCGCCAACTCCTTCCAGATGAATTGCACCAGATGGTGCAACTGAATCTTCCAGTAGACATCTGTTCTTACTGGGATTGGCTCCAGGAGCTCTGGTCCAGGAATCTTGGCACCCTGGGCCCCCAAGAAGCTTCCAAATTATCGTCATTGCGGTATGGCCATAATTCTCCACCTGTGTGTGTGTGCCCCTTACAATGTGAATTTGCAACTCCTCCACTTAAGAGGTGGGGTCTCTTCCCACCCCTCAAACCCGAGCCAATAGAACGCAGCAGAGGCAATGTGCTCTCAATTCGGAGCTACTTCTCAAGAGGCTTGTGTACTTGGATCATGCCATTGCCATGAAAGCAAGCCTGCTGGCTGATGAGAGACAACGTGGATTCTAGATCAGCCCAAAGCCAGCCAGTCCCCAAACATGTGACGGCATCCAGCCAAGACTGCAATCCATACGTGAGCCAAGCTGGAAACAAGAATGCTCGGCAGGCCCGTAGATTCATGAGGAGTGGTAAATGCTTATTGTTCTGAGCCACTGAATTTTAGGGTGGTTTGTAATGCAGCACTAGCTAATACAGGAGCTGTCCTGAGCCTCTCTTCTTCTCCTCCACTCCACTCTACTGACTTGGGCCACGGGCCTGTCAACCTCAGCTTCTCTGCCTACCACTTGCCCTAGAAGCCTGCCTAACTCTAACCCAGCTCCTGGACGCCCCCAGAAGCCCAGGCAGGAGTGGGGTCCTCATGGACCACAGACACCACCACCTCGATGCAGGTGGTCCTGAAACTCCCACTTCTGCCTTCTGTCTTCCTGCTTCTGTAAGCCATCGGCTGACTGGCCCCCTCTTCCTTCTCTCCAAGGATATGTTTTGTTGAGATCCCGGCACAGATCCTGCCCAAGCTGACACCAATAATTCAAAAGGACTGAGCTACTCAGTGGAGCTCTGACTGGTTTCCAGAAGTTGTAGGGATGGAAGAACCAACGCATCAGAGCGCTCTGGGAGACACCCTCTGGGCTCACAGGCCCTCGAGAATGGTCAAAGCTTCTCAAAACCAATCAACGTTGCCTGAGCCTGAGGGGGTGGGAAGGGTGACACACACCTGAGAAGCATCTTGTGGAAAAACAGCATCAAAGGCGAACATCTTAGGAGGAACTTGGTTGCCTCTCTTTTGGAAGACGTTTTGACCTCCACATGTCAGGGGGTCATACAGGGTGATCTGCTTCTTCCGTGGGTCCACCTTTAAGAAGGAGCTGGATTCTGAGGTATCTCGAGCCAGTGTGGAGCAAATGCGAAGCATGACTTTCACCTGCCAAGACACAAAGGCAGGACAGGACATGGAGTGAGATGGCTGGATGCTTCCTGAAGGGGCCGCCTCGTGGGCTCTGGAGATGCAAGTGTACATGGTGGCAGGGAACCTTCTGGTAAATGATGATGACCCTCAACGGGTCAAGGGAAAACCAGCTTATTTATAGCTACTAGTGGAATATTTTGATACGTCCATTGCTTTATTATAGAAGTGACACATCACCTTGTCTTCTTATTAATATAAATTGAAGACCATACGCTGGTGGCCCACTTACAGAGAAGACAAGGGAGTGTGGATGGCCGAGGGTTTGGGGCCGGTGTAGTTCCCTTGAAGAGAACTACTCGCAGATCAATAACCCATGGACATAAAAGTTAGCCCTGTAATTTACTCCTGGCCTCTGCTCATCAGGACTCTTGGAGACAAAAACCCACCGTGATTAGTGTCATCATTAAAGGCTAGAGAAATGGCCTGTTTTTAATGGCCAGCATTTGAAATGTGTTCCAAGGAGCAACAGTGATGAAAGATTTGTTTGAAACATGTTATTTGGGATCCCATTAAGTGAGTGCGTAGAAGTTGTCATTTCAGGGAACAAAAGCACATCTGGGCGGGAAGCAGGAGCGGTGCGCGTAACCCACTTCCCGAGTCACCAACCGGGGACCAGACCACGACTGCCCGCTCCACCCCTGCGGCCACGCAGAGCACACATAGGAAGAAACTGCCTGCCCCGGAGCCCTACGGCGAGTGGAAGTCAGGCCAAAGCCACACGCACACGCGCGTACACACACACACACACACAGCTCTGCGGGCGCAAGGCCTGGGGCCTGGACAGCATTTGCCCCCTTCCCAGTCTCTGTCACTGTGTTGCTAGTTCAGTCCAAATGTGTCCAGCACCTGCTATATGCCAGGCCCTGGGCTAGGCTGGCACTGGGGATGTGAAGGCTGGTGATACACGGGGCGACAGACAGAGACAGGCGATTTTTGTAATACCACGTGGTGAATCCTGCAGCAATGTATAGGTTCCTTCTAAGCTCCTCTCTCTGTCTCGCCTTCCTCATCGGATCAATCGTCAGGTCTGATGAAATGGCAGTTGTGCGGTTTTGGGAGAGGGGTTGTGAATTTTTAAATGAGTATTTCGAATGTGCAGAAATTCTCAGAGAATCATCTGGACTGTGCATCATGGAGTGAAGGCATCCTCCCACTTGTCTTTCCCCTGTCTTTTTCCCCGGATCTAGGGGCCCGGCGTCGCGGTGGAAGGAGCCCATGGCTGGGATGAGGTCGACCCTTTGGGATTCAAATGCTGGTTCTCCCACTGGGAGGTCATGTGATGATTCCTGCATTTCCAGGGGGTCTCTTGTGTGCCGGGGCTGTGCTGTCAGCTATAGGGAATCATGTCGTCCTCCTGAGAAGGCAGCACATCGGCATACCTGTCCAGATTGTACAGAGAGAACAGGTGTTCTAGAACTTACCCCCATCCCTGAAAATGTAGGTGGTAAGGCTGGGCTCTGACCCCACCTCTGTCTGACACCAAAGCCCACACTTTTTCCATCATGGCAACTGCTGCCTCCCCTATGTGGTCCAGCCTTTTGGAGCCTCAGTGCTCTCACCTGTGTAATGGGAACAATGAGGCCTATTTCATGAGACTGTGGGGAGAATGAAATGAATGGACATGTGAAGGACTGAGCCCAGGGTGGTGCTCGATTTCTTCTTCTCATCCTCCTCCTCCTCCCTCCCCCATACCGGTCTCCCTGTGAATGGTGACATCCTTATGTTCTCTCATTACGGTGTTAACGACGAGGTTTTAGAACCCAGCCCTGGATGCTGGGTATCATGAGTCACAAACAGGCTGCCACGGGGGGTCACTGCGGACAGCGTGTGGTGGTAGGCGCTGGTCCTCACAGGCTCCTGTTAGTAAAACAGTCACTGCATATATGACCACAAATCACCCCATCTGTCTACCTTCCACTCAGGCAATTTTCTTGTTCACCGTGAATGTCTCTGATCTTATTTCAGTTCTGTCCACACCTACAGCTCTGCCCTAGTGATGCAGGTGTGCTGAGGGCACGTATTTCGGTCACGACTTCCGGTAGGTGTCTGGGGGCCTCCGGGCGTTCTGTGAGCAAATCCCCTCGCCAGCCTCGGAGTGGTGCAAGTCAGGGATGAGGCCACGCCAGGCAGAACCGATGGACTCACATGGCCCGCTGCTTTTCTATTTCACAATTGCGCATGCAATTTCTGGGTAACCAGAGGTGCCGAATGTAAAATATGAGCTAAGCCAGGCAAGGGCCTGTGGGAAGCAGGAGAGAGGGGGCTGAATTTGCCAGGGGGAATGCTCTTGCATTCTAATGAAGTTCCAAGCCTGCACTTGCATTTCGGCGGACAGGCTAAAGATCCCAGCTGCGGGCCTGGCCAAGGAGGTACTTGGCCCTTTCCACACCCCTGAACTCGGGGTGGGGGGTGGGGAAATGCTACCCTCATTCTTTCCTTTGCAATTCATTTCAATAAATGGGTATATTTTTTCCCCCTTAAAGGAAGGAAATGGGGTTTTTCTGTTTGACTTCCTTGGTGTCATTATCCTTTCCGTCCGCATTCCACTTCCTGCTAAATCCTCTGTAATTAAAGTGCTTCGAGATGCCACTTATGAGCAAGACTGTCCCCCGGACTTCTTGCCAGGAGTTCTCATTTTGGGGGCAAATGCTGGTGGGTTCCTTCCTCCCCTGGAGGCTCTGGGCAGCGGAGAGGGTCCCTGCACTTGGGAACATGCCCCCTTCTCCCAGCTCTCAGGGCACAGGGGCCTGTCTCTGATTCCAGTCCCAAAGGCAGAACCGGCAGAATGAGATCCAGAAAGCCAGGGCACACTCTGGCCCGGCACCCCCGTTCAAATGACAGGAGACTGGTGCTTCCCTACCCAACCCCTCAGGGGTCAGGACCCCACTTTGCCTCATTTATGTGATTGCTCAGGGGACAGTGGAGCCAGCCGTCCCTCGGGGTGGCCGTGGCCTCTGTGTCTTGCTCATTAATCATGGCAGCACCTCCCCCTGGATGGCATGAGGGACTCAGAGAGCATCTGTGCGAGACCGTCGAGAGAGGCGGGGCCTGGCTCCTGAGCTGTGCGGACTCTCCATCAGAGCGGAAGACATGGCCGGGCCGCCCCACGGCCTTCTGGGCACTCATGAGGGGCGGGCCCCAGCAGGCGCTCACTCTTGACTCTACACGTGATCATGAGCATGGGTGTTCCTGTCTGGCCCTAGTCACCAGGTACAAGTACATGGTACACCCCTGGGGGTCTCCTCATTGCCCACCTCTCGACCCAGAAGCTGTCCAGTGGGAGGCTTCCTTCAGACACTAAGGCAAAGGAAGGCTTTGGGCAAATGTGACCTTTGGAAGGATCTCTCACCACCCAGAGAAGACCATAGCTGGTGGTGAGGAGGTGGGGGAAAGAGAGAACACAATCACCATTCTCATGCAGCAGCTTTGTTTAAACTCCTTTGTGGGTCCCCATGATGCTCAACAGACACACGGGAAACAGTGACTGGTCCCCAGGTCACGTCTCAGCCCCAGCAAACGCTCAAGGTAAGTGTGTCAGGGGGTACGCTGTTTCCCCCCCAAGGGTAGAGGCTGCAGAATACACTAAGCACTAACACCTTTTACTTCGTTTACACTTTTATATTTTGAATCTCCTTACACTGATGTCTATGTTCACAAAGTTTTAAGAATCAGGTCAGTAGAAATGAGTCAAGGTGAAGCCAGATCAACCTAACAAGAAACACCCTTTGCATCATCTTTGTCTTGATCCCAGAGTATCCGAGTTATTTCCAAACCTTCCATATCGATTCTTAAGTTCCTAACACATGTCTGGAAATAGTTCAAGGCAAATCAGACACCAATGTCTTAGGTTTGTCAAAATCCACCAACAAGAAGAAGAGCGAGAAAAGTGAACAAGTAAGATTGTCAGGGGGAGCGTAGAACAAAGGACTCACCCACTGAGATGGAACAGACGGAACGGCCAAACTGCAGAGCTGGTAGGCATCCCATGAGTCTGGCCCGGGACCCCACATCCCACCTACTGAGGCCGGCACCTGCAGTGGGGGTGCTGGGGTTCCTCGTGACGAATGTAAGCCACGGAAATATCCACCACCCTGCCCTGGCAGGTGACCTTCTCCACCTCTGACGAGAGATAGCACGAGTTCGGGCAAAAGGCAGAGTTGGCATCCCAGCCCTGCCTGGTGGCAGTGCAGGGTGGGGCACAAGCAGGCAGCCCCGTGCTGGTCTCAGTGCGCACCAGGACGCCTTCCCTGGTTTCTACATATTTTCAGATGGGTTCAGCTCTTGAGGGACAAATGAAGGACAACAGAAGGGTCCATTGCCTATCATGAGTGTATCTCCTTTCTAACAGTTTCCAGCATGCACCACAGTGAACGGGGAGCCCAGAGACTGGGTTCTAGTCCAGATGGCACCACCACAGAGTCGTGTGGGCCTTGGTATCCTTATCCCTAAAACGGCCTGTTGTGCCACCCCCCTTGAAGGACAGTTGGGAAGCATACAAATGCAAAATATTATTCTCAAAAGAAAGGATGCATATCCCTCAAATCAACATGTAGAAAATACTTTTCTGTATTAGATTAATCATAGCAGAAGCCTTTCTACTAGGCTTAAGTTTTAAAGATTTATTTTATCTGAGAGAGAGACAGAGAGAGCAGGGGGGAGGGGCAGAGGGAGAGGGACAGAGAGTCTTAAGCAGACCCTGTGCTGAGTGCGGAGCCTGATGTGGGGCTCGATCTCATGACCCTGAGATGATGACCTGAGCCTAAACGAAGAGTTGGACATGTAACTGACTGTGCCACCCAGGCACCTTAGGCTTAATTTTAAAAATTAAAGCAAAAAATTCTTTAATGAGCATGAACATACATAGTGACATGAGAGATGAGATCAAATTATTTTCCTCCCCCCCCAACAAATTAAAGACGATGTGGTCTGCTTACATCTTTTGCAAAGGTAAGTAA